ATCATCCGATTTAACAAATTTTCACTGAACTAAATTTCAGTATTAATTTATTTGTTTTAATATTTAATTTAATACTATTTTACTAACTTTTTATATACATTTATATTTTTAACCATAAATTTAATTTGTACATGTTTTGCATTGTTTTCACTAACAAAGGTTTCTCGTTATTTTCTTAATAATTTTATTACACATTTAATATGCATTCTAATTTTATAAAAATATTTCATGCTATTCTTATTTTCATAGGCTCTGAAGATGGACTTCCCGAAACAGCGCTGTTAGCCTTACCATGTCTATTGTTTTAAATAAATACGAGTTTAATAAATTCAGACTTGTTGAGTGTTCATTAAAGAAAGTCATTAATGCAAAATGGGCATATATCTTCAATGATGTTTGTATTAAAGAAAACCTCGTTCCGAAATATATATATATATATAAAAGTTGGACAATGTTGAAATTAGTGTTGAATTTTTGAAATGTTCAGGACTACAATTATTTTTAAGTATTAGGTGATACGTTTTTTTTATTGTTGTAATAAATTCGGAGTTTAACTTTATTACTTGGGTTGGTTGGTGTGACATTTTTATTGATGATATGTTTAAGAATAGTTTCATCTACTTTGTATGCAGTTGACATGTGATTGTAATACAAGATGATGTCGTTATCTTGATTTTGGTATTAGGAAGGTTATTGTTGTGTAGTAATTTGCCCTTAACAATCTTTTCAATAGAATAAGCCTTATATCCATTGTTTACAAGCAGGTTGGCGACTCTTTTTAATTCAGCGTCGCGATTTTCAATATTGGAAGAGTGTGTGAATGCTCGGTTTACAAATGATTTTATTGTGTTCGCCACGGGTGACTAACACATCGAGAAAAAGTAAACGTTGTTCCTCTTCAATTTCAATGGTAAATCTTAATTTTGATTTGTTTAAGGTACCAAGAAGTTGGGTGATTTGTTCAGGATCGTTTTAGGAGGCAAAGATATCATCGACGTATCTAGCGTAGATATTTGGTTTTAAATTTGCATCATTTTTGAAGGTCTCATTCTCCAGATGTCCTAGGTAAAAATTTCACCCCATATATATATATATATATATATATATATATATATATATATATATATATATGAGGTGAAAATTTCCGACTTGCTCCCGTAAGTACGGTAGCCAGTACGGGTACATAAAGTACATTTTCTCTCATTTCTCTGGCCAACCGTAATTGCGGGAGCAAGTGGATTCAAGTCGACTCACTTTTTCCTTCATTTCGCAGAGTAACGGTAAGTCTCTATCGATTAAAATGTTTCTGTGAATTGCTTGAAAAATCATCTTAGTTTGCAAAATTGTGTAGTGAAAAAGTAATTGCACTAAGTTGGTGTTTAAACTCGAGCTACTGATGAGTCTAGCGTAGAGAGATGCACTTTTGGTTGTGATGAGAGATGTTGTACTTTATGTACTCGTACTGGCCAACCGTTCTAGCAGCCAACGAAAACGATAGCATTAAACCACAAATATACCACTCTAACCACAAAGAACGTCATCTCTTGTGATGAAAAACAACTGCATTATTAAACCAGAATCGATAATGGATCATAGCCATCTAATACAGCGGTTCTCAACCTGTAATTTAAAGAAAAGTGGCAGATCCAAGCTGGAAAGAAGTGTTGTCAAAAAACATGAAGGCACTGGGCCTGAACCAGAAATAGCCCAGAATAGAGAAGAATGGAAAATACGGTTAAATAAGCGTAATCATGCGACAGGCCAATCCTGGGTTCTGCCTGGTGGTCCGCGAGCAAAATGTGAAGTGCCAGTTTTTTTAAATAAAAAAATGAAAAAGATGAACTCCGATAGAGTCATTCGAACATTACGCCTCGTTTGGATAAGCTATGCTCAGCTGTGCAAGCTCAAGGCTCATACTAAAATTAAATGTAGCATTTTTTCTAATGTACTTGGCACGTTTGTTCATTGTAAAAGATGCAATTGCACTTTGTTTCATATTTGACATATAAATTGATACGGTGTATGCAAACCTCAATGTAAAACGAACATTATTCTTTTTAATTTGAAGTTAAAACATTAATTAAAATATATAATAAATGATTTTAAATAACAATTTTAATACACCTATAGTCAAGTTGTTAACTGTAGTTCTCTAAGTCTAATAGTTATACTAAGAACTATGTTATACTAACTATGTGTAGCTGTTACGTCATTATATGAAATAATATATATATATATATATATATATATATATATATATATATATATATTACAAGTGCGCTAGCAGCAAAATTTTCAGTAGTGGTCCGCGGCTGAAACATTCATTTTTTAAGTGGTCCTTGAATCTCAAAAGGTTGAGAAGCGCTGATCTAATATATTTGTTAAAATGTAATATTGGTGAGTGTGGGCACCATAATTCTGAATATATTGGTATGACGACGTCCAAGTTATCGAGAAGACTCACGATGCACGTACAAACTGGCGCTATGAAGAATAACGTGAAAGAGAAACACAAAACTAAAATTACTAAACAAATCATGGACCAAAATGTTGAAATCTTAAATCTTTAGTTTTAGTTGGAGTGTAGAAATGGCTGCCTTTGAACTGTTCATTATTTAATTTTAAATGTAAAGACTTGGGTGAGTATTGTTAAGATTAATAATGAAAACACGTGAAAGTGTTATATTTTACGACGTTGAAGATTATAAAATTGAATATTTACTTAAAAAAAACAAGGAACCTATAAATAGGCACAGTGTGAAAATAATTGAGCATCTGGGCACAACATATCAATTTGAACTCCGAAGTTGGTATAGGAATACCGAAAAAAGCTTTTCTGTTCTATCATGCATAAAATAAACACAAATTTTGGTTTTGAACTAAAGAAACTTGAAAATGATTTTCGATCAACCGTTAGAAAAATCGAAAAGTTAAATTGGAAGTTAACTAACGCCGAACATGCTGTGGTTTTTATCATATAATATTATAATTATAATACAAACTTAATTCACCTACCTTGGTTACAAGTCATTAAGTTATGTTTAGTTTTAGTCGGAGTGTAGAAATGGCTGCCTTTGAACTGTTCATTATTTAATTTTAAATGTAAAGACTTGGGTGAATATTTTTTTAATGAAAAACTGCTTCTGTTTTTAATTTTTCTTTTAATTTGCAGAATGTTTTAACTTGATTTCACTATTAAATCTAAATGCTAACAAAAATTTATTTTAATAAAAAATGCTTGAATTGAAGAAATGACCTATATAAATATATTAAGATTACGTCAATAATTTGTTTACGCATTTTACAAACTTTTAAACATAACATGGCGCTAAATGTTTGATGGAAGGTTAAAAAGGTGCGCATAATTTATCGAAATTTATTGAAAATATTAGTCGATTTAAAAAAAATAAGTCAACATTCCTCAGATAATAAAATGTAGAGTATTATGGTAATAGTTATAGTATAAGTATTATAGAATGTAAAATTAATTAATTAATTTTATTTTTTTACTGTTATACTTAAATAATCCCTGATTTGGAAAAATAATTAATCGTTATAAATAATATAAATATGCTGAATTTAGACAAAATCACTTTTCTCAATAAGAGAATTCACTAATTTAATATTTTCGTTAACCAATGCTGGGTTTTTGTTAATATGTTAATATTTTAATTGAATAATTTAAACGATTACTTTGAGATTTAATTTGTAAAACAACTCATTGGCTACAACACAATTTTGTTTAATGTCGATGGTGCTGTTAATGTGACGACGACAACATAGTAATGTTGATGATGTGATTACAAAAACAGTAATGTTGATGATGTGACGATGACAACATAGTAATGATGATGTGATGGCAATAGCATAATGATGCTGATAATGACGATAACATGTTGATAACACAGATTCAAGATAGTGTAAACCAAATGAAAGCAGCTCAATTCATTATAAACAGTTGTGATGTCGAAGTAGTCAAGAGGTGCCATCAACTAATTATTAATGTAAGGGATTGTCCTGATAATCGTTATGCTCATTTAATATCGATAATGTGATGACAATGTGGTTATCTTTCTAATATTAATATTGATGACGATGACGAGCAGTTTCGATGCGTCATTAATTTTATTATTTAACTCATCGTAATTACAGTCCGTAAAGACTTTTCACTGGTAAGCATTTTTTTAAATTTTTTAGATGTCTCAAATATTTTAATTGTTCAAACATAATTCGAACACGCTGATTTCAAATATGTACGTGAAATATTTCTATCATGTCAGAATTTTTCACAATTTCATTTTTAACATTTTTATCTTTTACTGATTTTTAACATTCTGTCTTCACGATTATTTACAAAATAATTTGTTCAAAATATTAATTAGTTAATTTTTTTACAAAAAAATAATAAAATGTAGAGTACCAAAAACATAAAACTTCAAATTAAGGACAAAAATTTCTTGATTTTCTCCCACATTCTTTAGCCGTCTTATTCTCCCTTTTAACTGATCCATGCATTCAATTCCAATTCATTCATTATTTTAATAAATTCGTTATCTTTCATGAACATTCTGATATATAAACCATAGAAGATCTCAGCCTTCAATTTCTCACTACTGATTTTTGGAAATTTGGTGCAAATATATGCAATACACTTACTTTCTTTGTCCAACGCTTTCACAACTGCTTCATCAATCTAAGTTTAATATGAAGAGGAGGCAGGAGCATTCTATTTGGTTCAACCAACTTAGGGAATTTAATATTTTTTATACCTGGTTGAAAATTTGTTCATGGTGGCCAATATTTTTTTTTCAGTGATTTTTATCTGCCCTGCTATCCCACTTACACATAAAACATGGAAGTTTAGTATAGCCTCCTTGCTGGCATAGTAGATTTCCAATTATTTTGAGATCACCACATATTAACCACTTATGCTCATCGTACTTGATGTTTTGAAGAAGCGCCGCCATGTTGTCATAAGTTTCTTTCAATTGAATAGAATAGGCAATTGGCACAGATGCATAAATATTTCCATTATTCAAAAGAACTGCTTTAAGACTTCGTTTGGAAGAGTCAATAAAAATTCTCCATTCATTGGCACCATACATAACTCCCAACTCAGTAATCAATCCAGGTATATTTGAACAATATACACTTTTGAAATTTTTTTATAAATTCTGCTTCACGATTTCAATACCAGGAAAAAGTTGTTTCAGGTTCTAGTATATTTTTAACCTTTAAACGTGATTCCAGTAATTCTAGAATCTGAATTGCTAAGTAGAAAAGTGTCTTTATCAGTTTCAACATCGTCATAACTTGATTCATCATCTGGCAAAACTTTTGCTATGTCGATTGGTATCGGAACAGGTATGTCATCCCCATGAGGTACTGGTCTCAATACTGAAGGCAAATTAGGATATGAAAAATCTATTTTGTTCTTGTTGTTAAAACCTTTGGTGTTTACCATGCAGAAGTAACAACTCGTCTGTGTGATTTTTGGGTTCACGCCAAATCATTGGAATTCCAAAACTTAGAAAAGTTTTCAAACCTCTGCTCCAATTTCTTAGTCCTTCTGCACATGTCCTATGAGGTGCCCATGGTTTATCTTGATCATCTAATTTTATTTTAAAATATGCATAATAAATTTTTTTACAAATTCATTGATGTACAGCCTTTGCTTCTGAGGCGTGTATCTTCCACAAATATAACAAAATGAATTTGGAGAATTCAAACAACATTTTATAAAACTCGAACTAGTAGACATCAAATGAATTAAACTGAATAAAATTTCAATATTAAATAATGAATTTGTTTTAATTAAATGGGCAGGCCTAGATTTTAATGATATAAGTAATTTCATATACACATGTGTGTCTTTGTGTGTATACAACATTGTCCGTGTCAGTATTGAATATAACACAGATAAATTCACATATATATTGGATATCAGACGTTATCTCAAATATGTAATCATTACATTGTTATGTAATTCGGTTGTAGGATGTTTTAAACCATTTTTTGGAATTATGAAAAAACTGTGCGTGATAGAAAAAAGTGGATTACATATTTGAAATCCGCACATTGAAATTTATTAGAAACAAGTTTCATTTTTGAAACATCTGATATCATGCATACCAGTGATTATTAACGTAACAAAAAAACATAATTATGGTTCAACAATCACTATTAATATTTATTTGTTTTCTTCATTTTATAATATTGTCTTACTTGTTGTAACCAATTCTTCGTATGTTAGATTCTGATTTTTTTAAATTGTAATAAATGAAAATAGATGTCATTACATTACAATTACAATTGTGAGCATTATTAAAATTATTATAGTGGAGATGTAATTATACAATCGTGAGCAAAGTAAATAATATTTATCATATTGTTGTTTTGGGATTATATTGTTTGCATAGATGAGAAGGAAAATGCTCAGATGTGGAAAGCCCATATGGAAAAGTTGATGAATGAAGAAAATGAGTGGGATGGAAATGTGGAATCCGCGGTCACACACGGACCCATAGAGAAGGTGACGATGGAGGAAGTAGAGAAAGCAGTTAGAGAAATAAAACTAGGTAAGGCGACAGGGATTTCGGAAGTGGCAGCGGAACATATAAAGGCGAGTGGGGTGATAGGAATTAAAGTTATGATGAGAATTGCTAACAGTATGTTTGATGATGAAGGTATACCTAAGAATTGGCGACACAGTGTGTTAGTGCCGTTGTATAAGGGCAAAGGAGATGTGAGAGATTGTGGGTCATATAGGGGTGCACGGAATGAAGGTAGTGGAGAGGGTGCTTGAGAGAAGTTTGAGAAATATGGTGACAGTTAATGAAATGCAGTGTGGGTTTATGCCTGGTAGTGGAACGGTGGATGCGTTGTTCATAGTGAGAATGTTGCAGGAAAATTATAGAAAGAAGAAACGAAGATTGTACATGTGTTTTGTGGATCAAGAAAAGGCTTTTGATCGAGTACCGAGGAAGATCATCAAATGGGCATTGAGGAAGAAAGGAGTGAATGAGAGGCTTGTTAAAGCTGTGATGCAGCTGTATGAAGGGGCGAAGACAAAGGTGAGGGTCGGAAGGGGGATGTCGTACGCTTTTACTGTTAAGGTAGGAGTGCATCAAGGATCAGTGTTATAACCGTTTTTGTTTGCAATTGTGATTGAAATTTTCATCGAGAAAAATTTCAACAGATTGTCGCCACACAGTTAGACCACCAATCACAGCCAGTACAGATTGGAGTACATACAAAACCGTTTTGATAAACGCTGCAACTGCAGTTTGTGAGAAAACTGGTACAAAACGTCAGCATGAACGGGACACTTGGTGGTGGAATGAGTGTACAAAATGCAATAACTGAAAGGAAAGTTGCATACAAGCAATGGCAAAAATCAAAGTCTGTTGATGACCATAAAATTTTCCGGGAGAAGAACAAATATGCAAGACGTCAAGTTTCACTGGCTCAGACAGATCAGTGCAGAGAGTGGCTCACTAAAGGCAAAGGTGAACAAATGAAATCTCTGTATCGTATAGCAAAACAAGCAAAGCGTATGAAAAAAGACATAGTTGGTGCCTCATGTATCAAAAACGACAAAAAAGAGATGGTTCTTGAACAAGATGATATCAAGCTACAGTGGAGAGAATACTTCAACCGTCTGTTAAACGAAACAAATCCCATCAATGTTAACTTTGACGCTCAACCCATCGAAGGTCCGATTTCAGACATCACTGTAGAGGGGCTTGCAGAAGCTCTGAAAGCTATGAAGGATGGAAAGGCAGCAGGGCCCTCTGGACTCACAAATGACATTATCACAGCATCTGGTACTGGAGATATCCAAACGTATCAAAAACGACAAAAAAGAGATGGTTCTTGAACAAGATGAGATCAAGCTACAGTGGAGAGAATACTTCAACCGTCTGTTAAACGAAACAAATCCCATCAATGTTAACTTTGACGCTCCACCTATCGAAGGTCCGATTTCAGACATCACTGTAGAGGGGCTTGCAGAAGCTCTGAAAGCTATGAAGGATGGAAAGGCAGCAGGGCCCTCTGGACTCACAAATGACATTATCACAGCATCTGGTACTGCAGATATCCAAACGTTACTACAACTTTGCCGTGAAGTGTGGAGAAATTGCTCAATGCCGACTGAATGGAACTATAGCATGACAGTCCCGCTATACAAAGGCAAAGGTGATCCATTGAACTGTTCATCATATCGGGGTACACGTCTGTTAGAACACTCTCAGAAAATTGTCGAGAAAATCATTGAGAAAAGATTAACAATAGAAATCACAATAGAAATTATCAATTTGGTTTCCTTGCGGGGAAATCAACAATTGATGCACTTGACATCCTTTGGCAACTGCATGAGAAGTACCTCGCAATGCATCAACAATTATCACACATTTATGTAGATCTTGAAAAAGCATTTGATCGAGTTGCCCGTGAAGCAATCAGGTGGAGTCTAAGTCGACAACTCATTCCAGAATATCTTGTTCGACTTGTGATGGAAATGTATACAAATACTAAGACTCTTGTCAGCACAACGGTTGGAAACAAAGATGCATTTGACATCGGCGTTGGAGTTCACCAAGGTTCGATTCTCAGTCCACTTTTATTTATAACTGCGATGGAAGAAATCACAAAACCGATACGAACTGGTGACATTTGGAATCTAATATATGCTGATGATATCGTTTTAACAGCCACGTCTGAGCAGAATGCAGCACAGATGTTTGAAGATTGGAACACAAGACTCGCCGATCATGGATTCAAAGTCAACATCAGCATAACCAAAGCAATGAACACTGGTGAACCCATCCAATCCACAGCTACTGGACGATGGCCCTGTTCAGTTTGTAAAGCTGGTGTAGGTAACAATTCAATCAAGTGTCAGCAGTGTAACCAGTGGTGTCACAAACGTTGTTCAAAAATAATTGGTACTTTATCTAAATTGTCCAACTTTGTTTATCCTGCTTGCATCAATCCACAACAACAAATTCGAAATAGCAATGTCTTTGAAGCAATTAAGGTAGAGAAAGTCACATCGTTTCTAGAAGGTGTTCTAGATTGTACTGGAACGGCTGAAGCTGCCGTTCGAGCACGCATACGTGCAGCCTGGAATAAATGGCATCTCCTTGCATTTATATTGATGCGGCGTGACATCCCACTACCACTACGATCAAGACTTTATAAATCTGTAATACGTCCGGTGTTGTTATATGGTGCAGAAACATGGCCAATGTCAACCAAACTGGAACAACAACTTCAACGAACCGACATGAAAATGCTCTGATGGATGCAACGAATTAGTCTGAAGGAGCACATCAAATCTACCGAAATCTTGCGTCGTGCTGGTTTAGATGATATAAAGGACGAATGCCGGCAACACCGTCTGCGGTGGATTGGTCATGTCAAACGAAGTAGAAACAGTGCCATAACTTCTCTTGCAGATGTTGAAGTACCTGGCACACGTCCCAAAGGCCGTGAAGACATGAAAGCTCTAAATTTAAATGAAATGGATAC